ATTATTTTGTTTTATCTCTTGGAGGGATTGCTATCGCGCGCTTCTCCATACAAAAATTCGTGGCAGGGCTTCAACCGGTTTAGGATCTGTTTGATTTGTATTAAGCATCACCACTTCATCTCGGAATTAACCACTTTTGGATCAAAGTTCGTCTAGTCAGGAAACTCACTCCGATTCCCTCTATGGGCTGGATTAAAACCGGTGGCGGAGCAGATCCGACTTCCAGGTCGCCGGTTTTCTACATATCCAATAAAGGAATGTAGGATCAATCCAGTTTATCGTCAGCAGAAAGCAATCTCTGGTAAGATTGGATGGTGTGAAGTGCGAAATTTTTTGAAGAAAAAATTTTTTTGAATAATCTCGAAAGAACTTCTTTTAGATATCGCCTACCGAGAAGGAGCTGAAATTTTTGGAAGCTCTCGAAGAAGTCTGTTCAGGGATGTTGGAATATAAACTGCATAAAGAAAAGACGGGAATATCACGATTTGCTAAAGAAGAAAGTAGCACAATGAAAGCTTTAAATGAATTACGGAACAAAGGCGTTAAGGTTTTTTGCTTTTTTTCAGACAGTTTGTAGAATATTCTTGCAACTGCGTACAAATGTAAAATCGGATGGGGCAAGCTTTAATATGTTTCGGATGATTAACACCAAATTGTCATTTCTTTATCTCTGATAATGTTTCATCACTTTACTTAAATGCATGAGGCGGATCCAGAACGGACTCCAGGGAGAGGGGGAGAAGAAGGAGGGCGACGGGGTTGGAAGGAGACCATCTGGAACTATGCAAGAGCTGGGAATAGAGTGGTAATATTGCTACTTAGAGTTACTTTAGGCTTTAGTTTACTTTAGTTTTAGCTTTTATAGAGCGAGCAAAAGATGGCGCGCAGGAGAAGCAAAGAACAATCCAGAATCGCGCAGCAAATTGACCTGTGATCTGTCCCGCCTTTTGTGATGAATATTTAAGCCTGTAAATTTGTTGTAAAGTAGTCAGTGTTCAGTATCGTCGTTCAGTGTCCCGTTCCCCGTGTTTCGTGTTTGGCGTCCAGCGGTCCATTGCGGCAGTGTGTTGCTGCATTCCAGTTGTCAGCACTTCTCGTCTGCAGCGGCTGTCGTTGCAGTCGTCCGACTTTATCCCGTCGCCCCAACGACTCAATTGTAAATTGTATTGGTGTTAATAAATTTCGTTTGTTTACTCCAGTCTCTCCACTAAGCGCCACAGCACATCAGCGTTCATCCAAGTTTCATCCGGAGCTCATCGTGACAGCATCGTAAGGTCGCCGTCGTCGTAACAATTTAGATCCTAGCTTTCGCAGTACTGGTGCCTGTGCCCTTTATCCCAGCACCGGTGAAAGACCCTTCGCGTTCCAGCCCGCTCCCCTGGGATCCGCCTGTGCTTAAATGAGGCATCATTATTATGCGCTAATCCACAAAAGGATAAGACCTCCTCGTTGCAGGTGGAACTGGGAATGCCATATGAAATGTGGGATAAACCATCGGTTGAAGTTACTACACTGAAACAGAACTGTGAAACGTTGGTTGAGCAATATGAGGACGACCTGGAACGTTGGTTCCATTCCACTGATAGGCTACCACTTCAGGTATGATTTTTGGGTTCTTCGTATAGATTCCAGATGGTCTGTGCTAGGTAATACTCGCCTGGTACTGGAAGTTTTTTCCATCGCTATTGGTTTTGGTGGAAATACGACATGGGTTTCTAACTTGACAACCAGAAAAGTTGGGAGACTGAAATTTTAAAGGGATGTTCCCAGATCACGTATAACTTAAAGATTTCAAATTCGGTCCCCAAGTGGTCCTCACGTACAGGTCTATGGAAATTTTTGGCAGAAAAATCGCTAATTCGGAAGTCAGCAAAGCTAGAAAGCTGAAATTCTGAGGGGATGTTCCCCATCCAGGTAGGTTTCAAATTCAACTACCAGTGGTTCTCATGTACGGCCCGTGAAAGTTTTTGGCGAGAAAACCGCTAACCCGGGAGCCAGCAAGGCTCTCCATCCAAGTACCACGTAATTGCACAATTAATTTCCTGAACTTCAAGGACCAGTATGTCACAAACTCTAGCTACTGGGATTCCAACCGATCTTACTACAGCACGAAATATTTCGAAAATGCATGTTCTTATGGACTCACTTGGTGCGCTTTTTCAATGGTTTTTTTTGGAGGGAAGGGAAGAGATGAAATCAATTTTGTTTTTTGTAATTATTGCCATTATCATAAGTAATTGTGATTGTTTTTCATTTAGAAATATTTGTGCGAAAAACGAGTGCTGAAAACACAAGAACAGCGCACATGCATGGATGGGACAGCTGATCATCTCGACTTATGATATTTTCGTTCTTTATCGTTAATCCCTAATAATTGCGGTGCTTCCCAGTTCTCAAAATTTTGATTTTCTTGTATTGGACCAGAAAAACCCCAGATTTATGATTTTCGCTTTCTTTTTTGATGACCTTACGTAAAATAGCCCCTTCTTAACTCTCTACGTAGTTTCGCTCAAAATACTGTGTTTTTGTTTAGCATTTTGGCACAAAATTAAGTATTCCAATGCCGTTTTTTTGACAATATTTTGCACAGTTTATTCAATTTTAGCTCCGTCCTGATCGAATTTTTCACTTTTTTTTGCCCGGACGGATACTGAAATATGTTTCATATATTAAAAAATGAAAGTGCTTAATCACTAATCTGAGGATTTTGGCAATACTATCAATAATTAAGTTGAAAAATTTGCATTATTCAGTACTTAAATGTTAGATATTCAATTTAGCTGGTGTTCTGAGCTGATAGAATCAAAAAATTTACCTTTTCTAAAACTCACTAATTTTTTTTTGAAAATCTCTACGGCGAACGAAAAGCGCCCAAGTGGCAGCACTTTGCTAAAGATCATCGGTAACTTTCGCTTTTGAGAATTGGACAAGAAATAGATTGCCTAGCGTGCTAGTGAGTCAAATTTTTTTGACTCATAAGCTAATTTTTTTGACTCACTGGGCATCCAAAACAGTTTTGAGGCAAATAAACAAATCACAGGATGAATGTTTTCTCACTGTTGGGTTCAGACAAGGTCAATGTTATAAATTTTAGAGTTTGATGCATAAATGTTTGTGAGAGAGAGCGATGGAGCGAAGAATTACTGGAGGGAAGTGAGGCTTACCTTAATTTGTCTCAAGTTTTATCCCCCGGTTTCTCGGTCATATATTGACGGGGGTAACGTGCATCCTGTATTTTCGTTCTTATGGGCTGTACACACACAGGAACACACGCATATGTATTTGTGCACTTCCATTTTCAAAATGGAAAATTGAAACCGGTTTGTGA